AGCTCCTGTGATTACTCTGTGCTGGGTAATTTGCTGTTTCTCCCAAGACTCTGTCAGGGTTTTGAATTTTCATAAATTGTGTAATTTAAACACTTCACAAATGCTTTCCTGTACCGTATTTTAAGCATGTGCAGTGCAATAGCTATTATTTTTCTGCAGTGGAACAAACATAAATATCTTTTGGTTCTTAGTGCCTACAGTAGCAGATTTCAGTAGTTGCAATTGATCAAAACCTACATCCTATTTTGTTTTTTCATCAAACCCATATAAGTGTTTAGTTAAAAATACATGGGTAAGTTCAACTAGACTGCATTTATCAACTAATGAGGTGTCCAGAGCCACACAAGCTTCAAGTAGCAGCCACTGACCCCCGAATGCGTGGCTCTCACCAGCACATCATTCACCTCCCCCCCATCAGAACACAGCAGCACTGGAGAGCACCCCATCATTGTGCACCCCACCAATTGTGGGCTCAAAAAAGCTCAGGAAGGATTGAGATGAAGGAAGTTTTCCTTTCCCCTCAGAGTTGCCAGCTGGCTCTGTAAAGTAAACAGATACAGATTCACCAGACGTGCATATTTTACCTCAGACATATTGTATTGAATGTCTCCATGCACAAAGGTGCGTTCCCAAGAGTGTGAAGTGCAGTGACAAGGGCCAGAAGCTTTTATGCCTTTTAGACAGAGAAATAATACATCTGTGGAGAATTGACAAGACAGAGGGGTTTGGGCTGGGGCTAGTAAATGGGGAACTAGGACAATAAAGGTTAGTTTGGTAACTAACAGAGTTCTTGGACCCCAGCTCCCCATCTGTACCCTCAGACTCCCAGTACAGGCTTGGGGGGGGGGGGGGGGCTGCTATGGGAATTTAAAGATTGATTAGGGAAGGATGATTAGGGAGAAGGTTTAGACTGACCTTCTACTGTTCATTTTTAAAAATTCCTTCAGTTTAAGATATTTAGTAAACCAGAGTGGCATGTTTAGGGGTAGCATGTCCTGAACCCCATCAAGGCCTCAGACCAGCAGCCAAAAGAAATGTCCACCTGGAAGACTGATGTGTCCCTCTCTTTCCCAGGACCCTGAGGAGCAGCAGCTGGAAAGCGGTGACCCCTTGGGGGCACTGTGAGATCCACCTGGTGCACCCCACACCCCAGGGCCACCTGGCCCACCAAGCCTCCTCAGAAAGGCTGTCAACTGTGAATCTTCAGCACCGGCGAGTAGCCTTTTGGGAATGTAAGGTCCTTTGACATTCTGAAGCACTCAGAAACCGTACCTCATCTCTGTGGTTAATCTAGGGCGCTCTTGTTCTGTGGGGTGGGGACTCTGTTAAGTCCACACGCACACACACACCCCCAGGGGGATTTCTTCCTCCTCTGACCCTCCCTGTCCCCCTGCCTTTCGGGGCGCTTACTGCATCCTGCCCCACACTCTGGGGCCCTATCTTGTTCCCTGCTCGATTCTAAGCTCCTGGAGGCAGGGACACGCCTTCTGCTCCTTTGTATCTCAGCACCTAACAGTGTCTGGCACGTGAAATGTGCTCAATAAATGTTTATGGGAAGAATATCAAGCTCAATAAATGTCTATGGGAAGAATATCAAGACAATACAGCTAGCGTTGGGCGAAACAAAAAGTGTTTTGTCCCAGGAGAGGTCAAACTTTGAAGATAAAATCCACTGGTGAGTCTAATTAAGGCCCTTTCAACTAGCCAACATCTGTCCTAGGAATTCTTCTTTCTTGTTGGTGTTAATAAGGCACAATCACCTTGTGAGATACCATTTCACCCCAGTAGGATGGTTACCACCAAAAAGATGGACAGTAACAAGTCAGTCAAGGATGTGGAGGAATTGCCCATGAGGTCTGCTCCTGCTGCGGCCTCCCCATTCCCCCTCTCCTTCGCTCCCCCACTCCTACCTCCCCACAAGAAGTCAGCCTTGGGGTGAAACAGTCCCAGGGTGGAGTGAATGAGAAATGGAAGAAAGCCATATCTTAAATACATTCAGGGGCCGTTTAGTCTGAAATACCCTTAAGACTGGCAGGACCCAAGCCGTCGCCCCTTTACAAGTAACAGCACCCCCAGTGAGCCATGACACAGCACCCCCTGGTGACCACTGGCCGACTCCTTTACTTCCTTGTTACTTTTGAATTCACAGAATCAGGGACCATCTCACCCCTCCACACCTCTGGCCTATACCCCAGTTCTTCCATGCAAAAATAAAATTAAAATTAAAAAAAGTATGAAAAAAGTGAATAGGTGTGTTTTATAGAAACACAATAAACTGTCCATGAAAACACAATTGCAGGTGCAGCTGGTCTGGGTGTGCTTGAGGCGCAATTCTGACCCCGTGGCTGTGATAGAAAATGGGGTTCCCTGAAGTGATGAGTGGGGATAAAGTTCTGAATACAAAAAAGTGAAAAATCTTCTTTTGACCTAAACATAGTGGCATTCCTAGAAAACTTGGCATATATTCAAAATCATGTCCAAAAAAATTCTTTGTGGTTAATGAGAAACAGGTTCTAGGCTCTGAAGGTTTTGAACACTTTGCCCCCACATGAATGTCCATGGGAACTTCAAGGCCACACTGGACTGTGGTGCCTTCAGGGCATCCACCACCCCTCACCCTGCCCATCACCATGACAACCGACACCCAACCCCAACCCTGCACCCCCAACCCTGCACCACACAGTTCCAAACTGTCCCAAGGGTGACCTGACCAGGCTTGGGAATCATGGCTGGGTGAGCAGCCTCGGACTCTCCTCTCTGATGAGGTCATTCCACATCAGCAGGGTTTTCCAAAACTCTGGAAGCCCCAGAGCATCCCATAAGATGTGTCACAACAATCAGGAAGGGAGGAAGTCCCAGCTTCACATAGAGACAACTTGCCAAACCCCTGGCAAGACAACTGTGGCGGGGGCATTGCAGGAAATCACCCCTCAAATACTTGTGGGACAGATGCCCTCATGCAGCCACCCACAGCCCCATTGCTACAGGGTAGCCCAGAGTGAACGGGGCTGCCTGGCTGCGGGGCCTCACACGCGCACTTAGGCACGCACCACACAGCATTCACTCTGAATAGGGTGTTAGCAATTGTTTCCTTAAAATCCTGCTCACAGGGGCCCTCCCTGGTGGCGCAGAGG